CACTGTCTGCTAGAAATAAAAGGCTCAGGGCAATACCAAGTTATGTAATGTGGTGTGAACAAAGTGTAACCCCCCTTTTCAAGAATCTGAGCATGACCTTTGAAGTTCTTTATAAAATTTATCTGCTCATCACAACGAATCCCACACTCATCATTGCTGTTTGTCCAGAACTCATATTCAACTCTCTGGTCAGGATGTGGCACTGACTCTCTCCAGTCCAACCTTATCACCACATCTTCACCTTTATTCAAGGCTTGCTTTAGGCTGTCACCAAAAGCCCTTTTTATCAAAGCTGATGGAATGTCAATCTTCTCCACATATTTTTCTGCATCAGTGTTTTCCTTGGGAGAATCCATTGTAACTAGATGTTCATCTATGCCATCAGCCACCAATACTGCTGCAGCTCCAGTCTGTTGACCATTCCACACCTTCAAGGCAAAGTAACATTCTGCACAGTGCACACAGCAATCAGCACATACCTGGTGATGTAGTCTAATGATAAGTGTTGCATCGGAAGATGGTTCTTTTTCTCAAACCCCTCGTCTCTTTGTACATATGGTTTATGATAATGAGCAGAAACACTGAAATGCTTACTGAAGATCATTTTCATTCTCTGAAAACAATTTTCTTTATACATTTACGAAAGACCAAAGCTCAAGTTACAGAATGGAAGGAAGGAAAACCGTTTTCTAGAGATGACAAATGGGAAATGTTTTCCTGAATTTTTTTTTTTTTTTATTGCCATGTATAAGATATTGATTATAAATGTAAGCAATGAAGTTTCTTGTTGTCCAACCAATGCAAACATCTTGTTCCTTTATAGGACGATTGCCCTTACACTTGCACTCGTACCCGCTCCTAGTGTCCTTACAGGAGCAACCATCACACTGACAGGCAAGACCTTCCCAGCAGTCATTGATATCTGAAGAAATTAAAGTCAGTGGATACAATTGACGCAATTCTATGAAAGGACATGAAACTAAAAGAAAGTCAGTAGTGAAGCTGGAAGAAGAAAGCACCTTCACATTTGTGACTATTCCCACGAAAGCCCTGTGGGCATTGACAGCCGCTTAACTGTATTTCCTGCTTTGTGTAAACAAGTAGCAAACGTAAGGACTAATGAAGATGTACAGAAAACCAATTGTATAAGCGAAAGTTAAGAGAAAAATCACTGAACTGTGCAAGCAGAGAAGGTTAATCCATTTCTTGTTTCAGACCAGCAACCTCCATTATTAATTGTACGCCTAGCAGGTCCAAAAGCTGAAAATGGAGGAGTAAAAGTGTTAGTGGCAATTCTGAGCAAAAACAATAATTTCTCAAGAAGAGAACTTGCTTCCAGATTTCAGTTAAGATTTTCAGTAGACAGAAAAGAGTGACAGATTAATGGTTTGCTGATCACTATTTAATTAGATAAAAAAGAAACGAAAAGAAAAGAAAAACAAACAAACAAACTAAGCCTACTAAAATTTAGCAACAACACAACTTACTTAAATTTGGAGCCATGGACGGATATTTTAATCTACAATTATGATCACATGTAGAATATATATAGTGCATAACTGCATCTCATCAAGGCAACAGACTAAGTAGCTTTGATAAATAATCTCTTTCCAATATAAATAATAAATTTTAAATTTGAGTCACATAGTTGAGTATGTCAAAAAATAAAAGAGGGTTTTCTCTTATTATGTAACTAAAGATAAAAAAAATACATATAATCAACAAATTTGAGGTTCTTTTTTCTTTTAGGATTTAGAATTAAGGTATTCTAATTGAGTTTTCACATATTTAAAGATTAAACCTTTTTTCTCTTGTAATCGTAAAAATGTCTTCATACTTGATTAGTATATTCAAGAAAATTAATTTTTTTAAGTGATCATTTTAAAACTTGAATTTTAAATATCACTTAAATGACATGTATTTATCAATAAATCTACCCTTTGGGTTGGATTTAGGGTTCCTTGATTATTGTCTAGGCCTTTGGTTTGGATAAAAATTAGTAAAAGAAAGGAAAAGGAAGGGAGGAGAGGGAAGGGAAGAAAAATTAGTGTTAAAGTTGTTTGAATAGATGAAAGTAAAGGAAATTGGAAAATAATATTTTTATTTAATTAAATAATTTAAAAAATATAATATAATATAATAAATTTTATTTATCAAATAAATAATTAAAATAAAATGTTTTTATTTATTTATTTTTAAAATAAATTTAAAGAATAAATAAATACCCCAAACAAAATCCGTTGCAATCAGAGTGGAAGGACTTGATCTTCCTCTATCTGGCTCTCCTCTGTTAAAAAGAACAATTCAAACAAAAAAATAGACACCTCTCCCCTCTCTCTCCTACCCTTCTCCTCCACACCCACCAATCCAAACAAAGCTAAGATCTTTTGAGTGGAAAACAACCACTGGGCCGGGCCGGGCCGGGCCGGGCGGGGCGGGAGACCAAAGCTAGTCTTTGTTCCATTTTTTGATTAAAAAGGTAATACTGGCTCGAGTCGACCTTGCAAGAGTCGCGAGACATCCCCGGGACCGTCGCAACTCTTTGTGGTTTTGTATTTGGTTAAATATCAATTTTAGCCTCCAACTTTAAATTTTGAACATTTTTTACCTTAAATTATCTTATGTATTTTTTAGTCCTAAACTCTAAAAAATATATTTTTTTAATATTCTCATACGTTAAATACGCATTGCCGTTAAATCACTCCAAATGTCGTTTTTATTTAATTTTTTTAATAATAGGACAATTACATATAAGTAAAATTACTCAGTTGAAAAAAAATTGTCCACCTAATAATAGCACCATTAAACCACAATTTTAGTAAGAGTTTTTTTAACATGCATTTTTAAATATATAGGTTGAGGGTACTCATTAAAAATATTTTTTTATCATAAATTTATATAAAAATTATAAAAATTAATATTAATTTTAATATTATTACTATGTAAATAAATTTAATTAGACAATAATAAATTAAATCTCACTTTTATTTTTTTAAAACTCTTAACTCCACCCTAAAATACAAATTAGAAAAATTATTTTAATAAATTAAAATATCAAAATTATAAAATTATGAAATTACCCGTATATATTTCTTCTTCCTCACAGTCTCTTTCCGACCGCCTTATTCTCTCTCCTTCTTCTCTTCCTTCTTCTCCCTCCCTTCCTCCATACTTCTTCCCCCATACTTTTTCCCCCTCATGCCTTTTGGGTTCAATGATCGAACCCAACATTGGGTTTGATTCGATGGAACCCAACCCAGCAAGCTTAGGTTCCATCGAATGGATCTTAGATCTGGGTACAAATGGACCCAGATTTTCTAGATTTTCAGAAACAAACAAAGATTCTCTTGCTCTTTTTTGGGGGGGTTGTTGTGATTTTGTTAATAAGAAAGGATGATAGAGATTAAGAATTAATTGATAGAGAATGCAGTGATTTTTTTTTTTTCATTAACTTTTCGGTATCCTATGGTCATGTAGATAAGATTAATTTGAAATTAAACCGTTTTGGATTTCATAAAAAAACCTCTTTTAGCGTTTATATTTTCATTTATAAAATTTAAACTTGAAATTTTAATAACAAAAGTCGAGTTCTTTTCATCTGAAACAACAGGATGTTGATAGGATGCAATGGTTTTTCCTTCAAGTGATTGTTTGATTGATGAAAAATGGAGATGAAAAATGACAGCAGGGAAGCCACGCCGGACACTGGAATGAAAAGAAAAAAATATTTATTTAAATAAAGAATTTTAATTTTATTTAATTAAAAAGAACTTTTTATATAATTTTTTATATAACTTTTTTTATTTTATTAAATAATTAAATATTTTTAATAATTTAATTTTAAATAAATAAAAAATATTAATTATTTAAATAATGTACAAAATTATATCAAAAAAATAATATAAAAAATTATTCTAAATTATTTTTGGATTTTATTAATCCACCGGAGTTAGTTTGCTGACTCGTCTCGTCATTGCCAAGTCAACAAAAAGTGTGAACTTTGACTTAGTTAGCGATTTAAACTAACGGAAGTACCAAGAAACTGCAAATTTTTTGAGTCGAGGACTAAAAAAATCCTAAAAATAGTTTAAGGATAAAAAATGTTCAAAATTTAAAGTTGGGGATTGAAATTGGCATTTAACCTTTATTTTTGACTTCTCTGTCTTTAATAAACTCAATCCTTTCTCCGCCTGATGTCGTCATTTGCTACACTGTAGTTATATCGGAGGGTCTGGGCCACAGCTAGTGCTCATGGCGAGCTCGGGAAAACCAGGCGGTTTCTTCGGAGAAAATGTAGGGGAGGTAGATTTACAGTCATATATGAACCCTGGAACTGACTGTAAGTCTTCCGTTGCTTTTAATTCCTTCAAATGATTCAAGTTGTTTCATCTTTTGTGTTTATGAAGAAATAATTGATGAATAATGAGTGACGTTATGGTTTTCCCTGATGTTGATTATGTGAAATAATTTTTTTTTATTTTGGTTTTTCGTGATGATTCAATTTTTCATGCCTAAACCCATTGTCTATATTAGTGCTAAAGTGCTTCTCCATAAGCTCATGATCCCACACCAAGAAGAAGCTAAAGATCTGAACAAATTACAAGATAAGAATTAGCTAAATTTTATAGCATGATTTCGTTAATTTGTACCGTGAATTTCTAAACTTTTTGCAGGTGATCCAATGGACACCTTCGATGTGTCTCTCTTGGTTGTCTCCCCACCGAATCCAACCATGGAGACGGTATTTAACAGCCATCAACATCGTCAACCAGCTGGAACGGATCTTCAAATTAGTTTCTCGGGGCAGCCAAGTTCAGATCAAACCAATATCAATGTTCAAACAACTCATATCCCGAAAATGACTGCAGAGCAGCGGGCTAGGAGAAACGAAATCAACAGACAAAGCAGGAAAAAAAAGAAGGTATCAAACTATATATCACCTTTAACTTTCTATTGATTTTTTCATTGTCATTTAATATTTGCATGCTATTTAGTAAATACTAGATAAGATAGTTCAGGTGTTCTTTTTATTTCTGGATAGTTATTTATTTATTTTTTGGTACATCATCACTATACAAGAGGGGATAGTTCTCCCTGTTCTTATATTTCTCCTCACTCGAGAATATGAAATCTTCAAGTTAAGAGTCTCAAGTTCTTAACTAATTTTGAGCCACCATTGTAGGCATTTTTGGATAGTTATTTACCTTGTATTTTATCCTTCATCTTTTCAGAATGAGGTGATAGAAATGAAAGATAAATTGAAGAAACATGAAGATGAGATGAAGAATTTAAGGATAGAGAATGCAGAATTGGAACATGCCAAGGTTTCAATGGGGGAAGAGTTGCAGGCTCTAACAGCTGTGAAAGATAAGCTGGAAAGCGATCTTGAAGAATTTAAGCAAGAAAGGGATAAGCTAAATGCTTTTCTCCAAGAGCTATTAGTAAGTCACTTTGTTCCAAAACTCACTTTGGTATTACCATTTGTCTTTCCCTGTTTGTGTAATATATATAGAATTTTTTTTTTTTTCCAAATTATGCATATATTTGACTTTCATGTGTCTAATCTATCTTTTTGTGTCTAACAATTGCAGAAAGATAAGGATTTTAAGTTCATAAAAGGGGGGGACAAA